AGGTTGATAAGTAGGGATTTGTCATTTTTTCGACGGGTAAAGAACTTCACATGCTCGGGGTAAAGAACAAAGTAAAGGACTGCAAGAAGATATTTTTGGTTGGCTTTTATTTCGACATCTGGGGTAATCATACCGAGTTGTTAGAGCAAATAGTGTGCAATCCAAATTCGCTCCTAGAGAGTATGGAACTCAGCAAAACAATGCTGACCAATCGTTACATCTCGGTTCCGCAATGCACCGCCGAGCTAATAGTAACTTGTGTATTGACGGGCGACATGATCAAGGAACAGTGGCGTTTTCCTGACATTGAGGAGGAAATCCCAGCAAGAGCGGGGATGATGAAGCTCATCGCTAAACTTCAGAGAGAGAAGCTTCCAGAGGAATCAAGTAATCTTGTAGGAGACGAGGAACCTCTCCCCTACAATGTGTCCTTGAGATACCTGTCTCTCTCTCTGATCAAAGCATTGTTATTCAAGACCATGTGACTGGCAAAGCCACTGCTATTCCTAAAAAAATTGCTTCTCACTTTGTTAATGCAGGGGAAGGTGCCAAGAGGGAGTATGCATCTAAATGGACTCCAAATGGAGCCGTGGTTGCAATTCCCTCTTTTTCTGCCACTGACCTATTAATCCCGACTTTCTATATATAGAGATGTAAAGTGCGATGTATGCGATTATATTTATAATATTTCAATATGGGATATTACACAAATATCTGTATCGTTATCAAGTAATATAGAACTTTTTGATTAAGTCTTGAATATCAAACCCACAGGAAGGATTAGTTTTAGATAACAAAATACTTAGAAATATATATTCTTACTCAAACTTAAGATGCTATAATAGGCATAAAAGTTCGATTTTTTCTAATTTTTGATAATTGAAAATAAAGTAAGCAACTAATTAACTTAACTAAAATACTTGAAAGATGAAGACAATACAAGTAAAATATTTTTTTTCCTTATCATGAATCAGTGATACACATGAAAATTTAGTTGTGAAAGTATGTTAAATGTGTTGTGCCAAATAGAAGCAATAATATTCTTTACCTTTCTAGAGATGCTATAAAGAACATTAGTTAATCTATAGTTTCAATAATCTTGATGACAAGCCAGACATGGAAGATACTAGCTCTTACTCTAGAGTTTCATTTTCTCCCTCCACCTGGGGGCTAACATCTCGTATCAAAACCTAAAATTATAAATCAAATTGGGGGCTTTAGTCTGTCACTCTAAAGTCCTTTAATTCTACACCCTTGAAAATATATTTCCCTATTCATTTGCACTCAACCCTATGAACTACATTTAAATTAATATGGGATTCCAATCATTTGTTGACTGAGACAATGTCATCTCGGATTTTACATGTTTTCACAATAGGTTGTAACATCTTAATTGGCCAAATCAAGAAGTAAATGAAGTGCAAGGTTTTGAATCATCACAACTTCTTCCAACATTGAAGTCTAATACTTCACACAAGTTTCTTTTAACATTTAATCACTTCTCATTTTAAGAAAAAAAATAAAAAAAAACTACTCAAAATTCATGGAGAAAATACAACCACACATGAGTTTAAAAGTAGAAATCATGTTCACAAACAAGAAATCTGAATTAAAAACCAAGTGTAGTCACAAAGATAAACACTTATCTCAAATTCTCTTCACAAAATGTCTTGAAGTTCCTTTGAATTCTCTCACAATACAAACTAACACTCAAAATAAAATAAAATAAAGTAAAGGTAGTCGGCGGCGGTTGTTAATTTTGGTGGTTGGTTGCAGACCCCTTCTTTTGGAAAATCTAAGTCTTTTCTTATAAAAATTCAAGGGATGTCTTGGAGTCTCTTCAAAAAGGTGTCCACATTCAATGAATATTCTAAAAGTTCCTCCTCAAAAGTCAATTGAATGAATTTTCGTGTCCATGGGCTATTTCTCACATTTTTTATTAAGGGTTGCTTCAAACACCTTTTCAAAAATCTACTTCAATTAAATATTTTTTCAAGTAACTAACTTTGGCGCTTAAGCGCGAGGTACTTAGCGCTTAGGCGCGGATGCTCTGACGCTTAGGCACCTCAATTAATTTTGCACATTTCTTCATTTTTGCTTCAAATTTGACCCTTTTTCACTCCTTTTAGCATTTTTCATCTATTTGATTGTACCTACAAGAAAAACACACAAATATATTTCATTAAAGTGCAATATCTAAAAAATAGGTATAAAAATGTGTATAAAAACACTATATATTTTAGGTGTATCACATGTCGGTTGGTACATCACTAGTCATTGTCGCTCTGTCGGACCCTCAGGTAGGGGTTTCTTCCTTTTGTCCCCTATCTGAGAGGGACAAGGAGAGTCGAGTTGCCTCTGCTGCCTCATCTAGTTCTTCGTCGAGGGAGACGAATTCATCCTTCGGAGGAGAGGCCATGCCTTCTTCTGAAGGAGGAGAGGTACATCGACGAGGGAAAGAACTGATGGCAGTCCATGGCGAATATTGGAGGAAGCCAATAAGCGATTAGACATGTTGAATCAGTCCTTAGATTGGTACCTACAAATGGATGACAATAGGGAGCTGCTCCCAACTTTGTTGAATCTGTGGTATGGGAGGACTTGACCGCACTATGTGAGGCTTCGATCGTCAAGAACTTCTCTAGAATGTGCATCTATGGCAACCGATGGTGGAGCAAAGCATCCATTTTGTGGGGCTAGCCTACATCGATCTGGAGGGGTCACTGGAAAGAGCTCAGAAGAAGGATTCCTCACCTGAGGGGTGTCTCAAATATGGCCCGCGATGATTGGTACATGTGGGAGCTTATGTTTAACAATTTTTTTGGGGCTAACAAAGACTCCCTCAGCACCATAGCAACCTTGGAAAAAGAAAACATTGAGCTGAAGGAGAAGGACGCCTCATCGGTCTCGAAGGAATAGTATGAAGATGGCTGGACGGAGTACCTAAAACTTGGTGTGGATTACGCCATTAAGCCATTCCTTCATCGTGGCATGGTCAACCCCAAGTACTCACTGCTTTAACTTGGGATGAGCCAGCAGAGAGTTCAGAGGAGGAAGACAATTCAGGAAGCGGGAAAGGGTTGACTATTCGTTAGAACTCTGCAAATGAGAACTTCTCTTCTCCCCTCTCTTTTTCTTTTACTTTTTGGCCTGAAAGCTAGTTAGTATCATACAAAAAGACTTGTAATACTTTCTTTATGAAAA